TTTTATTTTGTGTGAAGTGAACACAGGATAATGCAATTAATTACCTCATGCAGGATTGCACAAAAATAACAACAACAACAACAACAAATGGCGACTAGTCCATTCGATTTTTGTCTCAATGTTCTTCAAAACAATTTTTCATCTGACCTGTGTACAACATTTCTACGATGGCAGTGTGCAACTCCCTCAGCAATCTGTCTAAAAAGATGTTTTGCCAGTTTCTCTCCAATTCCTATTCCTAGTCTGGATCGCGAGTTGATAAAATCCAACAAGTCCCCTCTTGAAGCATACTCCATGACGAGATAAATCTTTGCTTCCGTGTGGAACGTTTCATAGAGTTGAATCTGAAGATCGAAATTTAGTGGACGAGATAATTGAAATCCTGTGATTATATCTTCTCCCTATAAGGGGGGGGGGGAGGAAGACGTTGCAGTGACGAATTTTTTGCTGTTATGAGAATTTGGTGTTGGATCAAGATAACTTCTCTCTGATAGGTTCGTGTGTTCTCATTACCTGTTTGCTGGATAATGTATGGATATAATGGGGAGAAGTTACATGTTTATCCCCTCCACTGAGGAGTTACAGTGTTGACACTTCAAACACAGAAAAAAGCTCCTAAACTTTCTCGGTCGGATAAGGGTAAAGAACAATCTCAGTTGAACTAAATAATTTCTTTTACCACATTGTGATGCCGACAGGTTGCGTTAAGAGAGTCGATTTCTCGAGGCATGAACTTGGACAGATATTCTGGAGGCGCCTTTTTCTTACATACAACTTTAATAGCAACCTGTCAAAGTGACAACAAATACATTAGTCAACAGAAAATGATCATCGGTCCTGCTGTAAGGAAACGACTTGAAAGATTTGGGAGCGAAATGTTAAAGTGGGGCGAATTTGTTTTACTTAGGGAGGCGAACTCGCAAAGGTGGTAGAGGGCGAACTTTCAATGGGGTGAAACCTGCGCATGCAGTTACCGCAAAAAACTACCCAGTGTTTTCGTGTTTTACTCCTCCAAGGAATCGAGTTGGTCCTCGTAAAGTTACGACTTCATGAAGTTGCGCAGCGTGACGAAAGCAAAACAAAAAAAGTTTTAAAACTATATCGACAGTCAAGGTAGACTCTAGTATTTGAGTCACTATAAGCTACTTTTCATACCATATTATGTCCCTTTTTGTCCAGATCATCCGCCAGTCTTTTGTCCTTCTCCACTTTACTTTCCATCACATAAGCCAGCTTTACTTTGGCATAGACTCCTGTGCCTAGAACTGTTTTGGTAAGCCTATATCCTCTTTTTTCGCAATCTACCTCCTCCAAAGTCATTGAAGAGCGAAGTCCTACAAAGCCTATATCTTTAACACTGGCCGAAGGTTGTCTAGCTCTAGAACTCATGGTTCAGATCCTTTTCCGTGCTTCACAATGTCATTTAAAAGCTGAATTTTGAAAATTATTGCCTCAAATACCGCTTTCAGGGCACTAAATCCGATTGATCTTTTACGTTTGTAAAGAGACATTCGTGTATTGAAACAAACCTTTTTGGAACGCTCCGCATTTATGACGCATAGGCATACAAAGGTAATGCGTTCAAGCGCGCGCTCTATGCTTGGATCTAGGTATTTACTAGGCTAACTCTACTGGAGAAAGTTGAAATACAGAGTTAGAGAAAAAAATTATGTGAATTATATAAATAGAAAAATTTCACCAGCTTACTCAAATTCACTCTTTAAAGATCATATGGAAGTGTTATGCCTTCCACCTTATACTTAGGTGTTTCTGTATTGGACTAGAATCTACCCAGGCTCTCTGAGAGGTATTTAGATGATTAATTTGGAATTACCAGAGAATGTAAAAAAAAGAAGGGTGTCCTATAAATCCTGTCTTATTGAAAGATTGCCAGTAAAAATGGGGTAGCTGTACTTGTTTTTTGTTCTATTTTTGTGTTTTGTTTTTATAGTCTGGAGTCTGGAGCGATTTAAGAGCAAATCCGTGCAAAAATCAAACATCGCGCGGCAAAGTTAAAAAACTAAAATTCGCTGTTCTTTTGCATACAAGTAGCCTTTAGAAAGTATAGAATTGCTGTGTAGTTTTTTCCTAAAAAAGTTATTTGCTTCCGAAAAAAAGAAAACGTTTCATTTTCAGTCCCGTGATCGATTTGGCGACACCAAACAGGTTTAAAATAGGTCATGATTCACTCGACTCGCGTATCAGAAAAACTGCGCTAGAAAAAGCTTTTACAGTTCCAAGTTGTGCAACTTGTCATTGTCTAAACACCGTGATTTCATAAAGATTAGATTACTTCCAGTATTCAAGAGAAGTCAAAAGCTTATGGCTCTCCCGTGTTGCGTAAAACGGTAGGCGAAAAACAACGATAATTTTTAGCATGTCTTTGCTCAGAATTTCGTAACATTACGAATGATAATACTAGAGTTGATGATCTTTCAGAATATGTAAAGTTTAGTTTGGGGAAATGAATTTGGAACTTTTTACAATTTTTTGGAAATCTTGAAGAAAGAAAAAAAATCACGCTATCCTGTTGTGTACATATGACCATCAAGACATTGATATAATAAAAATTAACAAGACTCCGATCGATGCATATGGTAAAGTAAATATAATAACCTTAACTGAAATATTATATTCTTAGCTGTTCATATGAGTCGCGAGTTTCAGTCTGTTTTGCCGTTTTCTCCATATTCTGCGGTCTCCGTAAGTTTGACGTCCGCACCGTCACTTTGTGTCGCGGCTCGATCAAAACGGCTGCTCCTGAAAACATCTAAACTTTGCAATTTGTATTCCTTGTGTGCTCGATACGACGTGTTGGTGTTCAGTTTGCGACAAAATTCATTAAAACACTGATCGAGCAGACTATTTAAAGCTTATGTTCAAAGTTATCTGCCATCGATCCTATTCATCAATTATCTGTTTGACAGACTGTATGCAAATTTGTTTCGCTTGAATCTAATATATAGATTTAGAACATAGCTAGCAGAGTCGCGCAATCAAATTCATTATACGTAAGCGTGCTCAAAATCCCGATAGTGCACGCTGGTAGCGTCAGCAAATCCGACTTCGCCAGAAATTTTTTTTTCGCGCGAGCGGCCATTGCTAGTGCGGGGAAAAATAATACATTTCGCGACAATAATGGATACAAACAGAAACTCGGCCTGTTAGTCCGAAAACGAAGACAATGTTTCGACCCTTTCCCATGGGCTAGAGTTCTTAAATGAGGCAGAAAAAGAGAAAAACAAAGGAAAAGGAGACTCGGCATCAGCGCCGTCACGATTCGCTTCAACTGATATTGTTGTCCGTTTTCCGCGTCGCATTTGATGCACAATTCCACCGGCTATGTTCTAAAACAATTGGTTCATGCTTTCAGCTGTGCACTATCGAGTTATGGAGCACGTGGGAAGTTTGGAGAGCACTCAAGAAGCTAGAGTTGCCCTCGGCTATCGCCTCGGGCAACTCTTACGCTTCTTTCGTGCTCTCCAAACTTCCCGCGTGCTCCATAACTCGATAGTGCACGCTAAAGCATGAACTAATTGTTAATTAGCCAAGACTAAAAGCGGAGCTCCCAGTAAGTGAAAATTTTGCAATAAAATTTCTTTACATATATTGAAAATTTTTAGCTAAAAAATAATTCAGTATTAAACCTCTTGACACTCACGTGTAACACGTGCTACCCTGCGAGCAGAGCCTTTTCTTCTTCTTTTCTTCTTTTAACCCCCAAAGGCTCTACTCGTAGGGTAAACACGTGCCTGTGAAAAGTCAAAGTTTTGGAGAAACCAAGGGTAGTCTGGAAAAACCGGAATCCGGAATTACGCCGGAATATTTCAATGTCTCTTTTTTTAATTCAAAACTCCGATGATTTTCGAAGAGTGTACGAGCTATTCGATGGTTTCCGAAGTTACCCAGAGAGCCCTGAATTTTTAACGGCTTATTTTTTTCAATTCAAGTTCTTTTTTCTTTTTTCAAGATTTTTCCGAAGAGTGTACAAGCTCCGAATATATACTCCGAGGATTAACCGAAAACTATCCGAGGGTCTCCGAAGTTGCCCGGAGATCCTCGAGGAACAATCAAACCCCCGGCTTCATTTGTTTTTTATCGACTTTTTTTATTTCATTTTTTGTTTATTTTTAATTATTAAGTTATCTATTTTTTAACAGCCGTGAAACTAAATAAAAAACAGCAAATCATTCGTCATATTATTGGTTAACATGGTCAGCGTCCCTTTAATCCAGATCTCGATTATTCATTAAACGGGTACAAAGAAAATATAGCAATGCCTAAGTCAGTCTGCCATTTATTCAATTACAATTCCGGGAAAGCGCTGCTTAACGAAAGTTATAAGCTCTTCCGTTAGAGACAGGCCTCCCTCAGTTCTCCTCAACAGACCTTGCAAGTGGCCTGTATGGAACCAGGGACGACGTGTACACAGACATGCTGTGTTAATATGGTAGTATCTTCTTTGTGCTCTTCCTAACTTCCAACATTTTGTGTCATCTAAGTACAGATTTGGATACCAGTCCACCTCTAAACGTCCAATGACTGCCATGCTATCAACAGATTGAGAGTCTTTATGAAAGCTCCCTTCACATCCGTTACACTGTGAGATGTTTACTTTTAGCTTCATTAAAAAGAAAGGATTAGGAGATTCAGGAATGATGGGTTTCGGCGGTAAAGGAAAACCTTGGGGCACGGATGGTTGGAGTGGCGACAGCCTTTGGCTAAACATAGATGTCGTAAATGATTGTGGTAACGGCCATTGGTATCCAAAAGGCTGATTTTGGTCAACCCCTCCCATTGCTGTGGCCACGTGAGATACCTCGCTGGTCAGGGGAAAAGTCTGGTGCTGTGGCTGTAGATCTGTGCTCTGATACAGTAATTGATTGGTTGATGAGTGGGAAGTAAGATAATTTAATGGTGACTGTGTTTGCGGCTGCCGTGACGAGAATGACGCGTTCCAAGCGCTGCTTGTGTTGGATTGAGCCAGAATTGAGGGAAATGATGTTTAATCAAACGACTGCTGGACAGCTGTTAGCGAAATGGGTACAGTCGCAGTTGATGTCGAGGTTGAAGTCGCACATGTTGTTTCCCTGTCCAGAAACGAGGAGGGCATTGGTAGGACGAAGTCAACATTCTCTCTCGCTTTTCTTTGCCTCTTTGGACCTTGCCTTTGACCAGATGCTCTCGTGTCGATCTTAATAGTCGCCACTAGCGTGAGTCCACCCTTGATCTTCTGCCCCTTATACCACGTGATGAACTTGTCAAGGACACCTTCTTTTTCCGTAACGGCGACAGAGTGCGAACATATTTGTTTTGGCTTGAAATTTCTGCATGTACAGGTCACTTTAAAGTTTGTTTGCACTTGAACAAAGTGTGGAATGCTCCCTGTTTCAGACATAACGGAGAATGTCCTTATTTTGGAGTCCCTCGAGGGTGCTGGGAAGATGGTGTTTGACTGGGATAGTCTTCTAACAGCTTTCTTCCCGATCCATTAAGCGATGTGGAGATCTAGACTTCCTGTTATGCAATTATGTGAAAGCGATAATTGTAAGGATGTATCC